AATTATGTACCATGAAGATAACAATTATGAACACTTTAACTTAAACTTCAACATGCTGAATCTGGACTCCAAAGTTGCTGAAAATGTGAGCAAAAGTCCTTCAGGAATGGTATTTACAACATGAATGCAGTGTATCAGAAAAAACAGTGGCATAATATGGGAACCCTGATGGTTAACAAGTATAGTGGCAATAATCTGAGTGTCAAGAGGCCGACAACAATAGCAATAACAGCAATGATACAACAACAGTGCAGTTGACAAAAGTTCAAGACTTTGCCTGCCACAGAAACACTCCCACGAAATAGGTGCTTGGAGGATACATCTTTGTCTGTAACAATGATACAATGCAGGAAGACTTAAAGCGTCAGCTATTTGGTAATCATTGTTATCATTGTTACTTGTTTTACCTACCCATGTAAAGCGCACTTACATTTTTGCAACCAGTTCATAGGTAGAAAATTGATAATATTGATATTTGTTCATTGACTTAAAACTTAATAGGTATGTATTTATTGTTTTTGCTATGAGTCAAGTATTAAATGCCTTAATTGTTGTGATTATATATCAGCCCATGCAACATAACTTTCTGTAATCACCGTAATATGCATTCCCTATTAGACTTTAGTTCCTTTATTGATAGTATAATTCTCATGTATTGGTTATTTTTATGTTTTAGGTTTGCCTCCGATATACAGGGATTCAGTTCGAGCAATAACGCCAGGCTTACCTCTGTTTCTTTATAATTATACTACTCACCAATTGCATGGAATTTTTGAGGTTTTTTTTCCCTACTTCATTCCCTTTCATTTGATGGTAGCATTAAATTCGGAAATGATTAATATGATACGATGTAGTTATTAAAAAAAAAAAAAAAAAAAAAAAAAAAAAAGATGTACTGAACAAAATAGGACAAGTTTTAATATGGTCATGATTAGGCAAGTTGTGTATTTTTGTAATTTGGTCTTCTAATTTATTTTTTTGGTAACTTATATGTCTTGAACATTGTGTTTCCCAAATTGGTCTTGTATAGGCAGCAAGTTTTGGAGGTTCCAACATTGATCCGACGGCCTGGGAAGATAAAAAGTGTAAAGGAGAGTCAAGGTTTCCTGCTCAGGTAAAACTTGGGTTGATGATTTGTGGATTCCTTTATTCTGTATCAGTGGGGACTTTACTGACTGTAACCCTGCTTTCTCCTTTTTCCCTTCAAAAATAATAAATAGGTAAGGATCCGTGTTAGAAAACTATGCAAGGCATTGGAAGAAGATGCTTTTAGACCAGTCTTGCATCATTATGATGGCCCGAAGTTTCGTCTTGAGCTCTCAATTCCTGAGGTACAATCAAACTTTCATTTATTGCTATTCTCTCCACTCAATTTCTGTGTCATGTAAGCTTTGATAGACACTGACTTGCATCATCCAAGGGTCATGAAATTTTATGTGCTGGTTTTGCAGACTCTGGATCTGTTAGACCTTTGTGAACATGCGGGCACTGCATAAGCAAAATATATTAGCAGAAAATACAAATGTAATAGGCTGTGTGGTGGATGTAAGCTGCCTGCTTTTCTCCGATTTTCCTAAAGAGCGCAAGCTTGGGTTCTAGTCTGTGTTGTATGAATCTTCCTGGGAAAAGTAGGAAATGTTGTGTGAGGCAACTAAATAAATGTAATATTTGTGTCGCATGGAGGTACTTCTGAAGCATTTGCTTTATGTATTATGTGTATTATGTGGAATAGTGTTGTAGTCTTATAGACAGACTTGCAAGATGTTAAAAGAGAAGAATGAGGGACTCAAAAAGGTGAAGGCCCCGAACATCTCTATTCTGTGCATGTAAACTGTTGTTTCTACACTTGTCTTCTGCTTGTAATGTTAATTTGGATAAAATGGAGATCATTGTAACCTCGTGGAAATTCTAATCTTTTAACCTGTCTTTGACCTAACCTCTCGTGTAGCAAACAAAGCTACTGGGAAATTTAAAGGCCGTGTCATACCGCATCCGCATGTCATATTTGCCTGCAAGCTTTCAGGGTTTTACATTGATGCAAATTTCAAATTAATGAGCGAAAATATACAAGTAAAGAGGTAAAAATTTGACAGGACAAGAAAAATATTTCAATTATCAAATCATAATTATTCACAAGTATACACGGACACTCCAGGTTTCAATTTGAACATGACACAAAATAAGACCGGAGGCCGGACCAACTGGTAACTCAGACATTGGTAATTGAAATTCAATAGGAACACCAAAACCTGAACTTCAAGCCCTATGCAAATATCAATTCGACATGAAACCTGTCTTTTGTTTCATTATGCAACATTTGGGCTAACCTTCAAGCCGCTGCATTCTGCTATTCCATTATGAATGCAGCTTTCTCTATCCTTGGAGAAACCTGTGCTGTGGATGACGACTGTAAAATAAAAGATGACTTCAAACTGATTCAGTAAGATCTTTGTAACTCTATTACAACTTCACACTAGAAAATTTGTACTGACACTCAAAGAGCAGCTGATGCAAGAAATGTATGGATTCTTTGCAACAATTCAGCCTTTATCGCATCAGGTATACAAGCTGCATGAAAAGCAGTTGATTAGTTTCAGAGTTGATGAATGATATAGTAAACAACAAAAAAAGAACAGGTTCCACTACTTCACTTCATAAGATAAGAACTATTGCACCAATCATATCAAATTCAGGCAATTAAATTCCCTTTTATTGTTCATTGACAATTAGAAATTTAGCACATCAATTGCCTAACAAGTAACAAAGTCAAATTCCTTTCATTTTTCATTAAAATAAAAAAAAATTCTTACCTCTGCCCTTTGGTGTAATTACGTGTACAAGATCATCCACAGTAACATTATTTCTCCCTTTCTTCTTTATATATGCCCTACAAAGTCAAAGAGATTTTTGAGATGTTAACAAGACAAAATGAGGAACTTGATAAAAACAACTCAAATATATTGGATGTATAATGAGCAAAACATCCATGTTTGAGGGATGTAACCAAAACAAGTATACGATTTTAATAAAAAAACAACTTGCCAAGTAAAAGTGTTTCAAGCACAGTATGAATTCGGGTAAAGTTTCCTAGAACTACAGGAAGCACCTGAGTCGTCCTCAATCCTTCTATCATGTTCCCACAAAATGCCTGAAAAGCTATGTCCACAGTACTCTCATCCACCAACCACAAATTAGCTTTACACCATCTATAGCACACCTCAACAATTGCTGATGTATAGATAGATACACGTGTTCAATACTCTCAGCAACTGCATAATGGAGGTAAGGTGATTGGCAAACTCAATACATCTTACTCATGCTAATAGGTGACCGATGTCAGGTGAAATACCTAGGTGATGGTGTCAAATACGAAGAATATCAACTGAACTAGATGACATCCTCAGGGTATGATAAGGATCTGTTTCTCAGTTGTAACAAAAGGATCATGCTTCTCTCCCTGCCTAGCAATGTGATCAATATAATGTACATGACAGATTGATCTCTCAATTTCAACTGAAGAAATATCATAGTGCATGCCAGCATGACTCTCTTGATTTTAACTTCACAGGGATCCTTTTAAGAGAGGAAACACAAGGTAGCAAAATTTCACGGCACCATACTCTTTAAATAAAACGGTTGAAAGGAAAACACATAACCAGGTCGTAAGGAGTTCTTTAAATGAAAAGAGGACACATTTTAGTGCTACTCTTGGTCTGCCTAACCTAACCAAAGCCACAATAGTCGAGCTAGTAATTTCAGAGGGTAGATGGCTCCGTCATCCATCGCCAGGCCACAGAAAGCTTCTAATACATCTAATTCATTCATATATTCTCACTGGCCACAATATTCTACATGTTATCATCTAATAATCTACACCAACATCTTATGTTGAACATTGCTCCTACTTTTATCCATATTTGATAAAGAACTTGACAACCAAATAATTCAAAAAATGCTAAGGCTGCAACCATTCACTACACAAAAACAATAATAAGAAAACAAATCAATAATGATAAACTAGAAACCAAGGCAGTTAGATAAATCATTTTATTCAATACAAACAAAAATCATTTACTAATGATAGTAGCAGTGAAATCAAAGTAACTAAAACCTGCAAAGAGCTCGCATTTCATCTTTCCACCCACAATCTATAAGCCTTTCTCGCAGAAGTTCCATTAACCTCTCTTTTTCTCCACTCTCAATTAACTATGGATGAAAAAAATGATATCCACAATCAAAAAAAGAAGAAATATCACAATCCAAAATAATACTAATTACAAATTCTCAGTTAGTTATTGTAGCAAAAAGAAGGGAAAGAAACAACCTTAATGCCAATGATTTCTTGAAGGGAAGGCTCTTTTGATTGGTCCTCCACTGCATCTGGCGTGGGAGGTAGATTCACAGAATTTCTCCTTTTAATCGAGAAAAAAAGTTAAGATACAACATTTGTAAATGTAATTCTAAAATGTCGATTTCAAAATAACTGATTTCTTGGAAAAGCTAAGCTTTCACTTTCAAGTGACGGTATTTTCAATGAAACAGAGGAAAAAAAAGTTGAACGCGATTCAAGAAAATGAGAGAGTACTTACATGTGTTAATGGCTAAGCAAAGACAAAGCTAGAAAATCTCGAGCAATCACAGAGTGGTTTATCACAGAAGGAGGAGGAAGAAGAAGAAAGAGGGTAATTATCCAGAAACGGCGCCGTTTAGAAGGAATAATAGTTAAGAGCCGCTACGCTCCGTTTCGAATTTTTTTTAATGGGATGTGTCTAATTAATAGCTTAAAAAATGAGTAGATTTTTGTTAATAAACCAACAAACCTCCTTCATCTGTATATGCTAAATATATTTATATTTTAGTCAAGAGAATTTAATCTAAAAACATCCAACTCCTTGTAGATGTCATGGCCAAAACAAAAATTTGTTCCATTGATTAGAGATAATAAAAACCAAAGTCAGCCAATGGAAAACGAAATGGCGGTTAATAATTACCATAAGTACGGCTGTGGATAGAAAGCTTCATACGCACGAAGCCGAGGAAAATATCATACGAATTAACACAACACGACAATCTTAAAATACACAAACTATGCATGCACATTCATTTACTTGAACATCTTAGATTAAACCCAGTTCAGCTTCAGACTCAGCAAGAGTCCACTGCTTCGATGGCCTCCGTATCTCTCTCTTCCTCCTCTCTCTTCTTGTCTCGAAAACCGTTGACTCTGAATTTCAGTTATGGTGTTTCATCGGACAAACTGAGTTTTGGGTCGTTGAGTACGGGGAATTTTAAGTTTGGTACGATAAAGAATGGTCAAAGACTTTGTGTCTGTAGAGCTGCTTCTTCTGTTGTGTTTCGTGACCTTGATGCTGATGATTTTCGACACCCTCTGGATAAGCAGGTCTAATTCTATCTAATTTTAGCTTCTTTCTTTATTTATGGCTTGTGTTATGATGATTGGTTCTGTTTTTTTTTATTTTTTCCTACAAAATGTTTTCATTTCTGGCGATATGTGGGTTTTGTTTGTTTATTCAGGTTATAAACTTGAGTTTATGTTTATATGCATGGTTTGGTAGGTGAGGAAGAGATGAATGTTTACTGCCCTTCAATTTAAATTTGTATAATTCAGTGTGTGCAATATTAATTTCAGTGGTTTTCTGTTTTCTATTGAGCAGAACACGCTAATTTTGAGGGCAATTCCTGGATTAAGCGAAGTGGGAAAGGCTCTACTTGGTATTTCTTTTTTTTTTTTTAGCTCTATAATCAATTCAGCTTATGACTATTTTAGTGATCTTCATCTGATTGCATCATAGTATTTATAGATAATGATTGAAATAAAGTTTGTAAATTTTCATGATATACGATTTAGTGGAGTCCAGAAACTAAATTGATTAGTTTAATAATTGAAGTGNGTAAAGCAATATCAAAATACGATTCAAATTTTTGTTTGTATTGTTTTCATGATTTTTACTGCAACCAAACAAGGTTGTTGGGTATATTACCATCCTTCAATTTAAATTTGTATAATTCAGTGTGTGCAATATTAATTTCAGTGGTTTTCTGTTTTCTATTGAGCAGAACACGCTAATTTTGAGGGCAATTCCTGGATTAAGCGAAGTGGTAAAGGCTCTACTTGGTATTTCTTTTTTTTTTTTTAGCTCTATAATCAATTCAGCTTATGACTATTTTAGTGATCTTCATCTGATTGCATCATAGTATTTCTAGATAATGATTGAAATAAAGTTTGTAATTTTTCATGATATACGATTTAGTGGAGTCCAGAAACTAAATTGATTAGTTTAATAATTGAAGTGGTTAATATTTAGTGGGCATCGCTAGTTAAGGACATGGTTCAAAACTTCTTTATAATACCATCATCTGCTCATGAGTTCTCTTTAAATTTGGTACATGTATGATGTATGCGCTCTTCTGCCGGATGTAAGGATTTTAGGTTCTTATGTGCTGGAGACATTTTAAGCGTGATTTTGTTTTCTCCGACACATATGCATGATGGCACATCACACTAAAGTGTACACCTGATTTCTATTTGCTTTTTCCTACTTTAGTGGAGTTGTGGTTGGATTTTTTTTTTTTTTTTTTTTTCTGTCTTTTACTTTGGTGATGCTACAATATTGAGCAGTTTCTTTGAATTCGTTATTGCAGGTAGTGTGACAGAGCAAATCATGCTTCTAGAGAATATAGGAACTTCAGTTCTTGTTTCAAAAAACCAGGTTTATACTCATTCAACAATAGGTAGAAAGATATTTATATTGTTTGATCTATTTATAAAGTATCCCATAGAAAAGAAATGGTGATTGAAATTCCATACATTGACAAATATTCTTGCTTGAATTCATAAGAACACTCAAAAACTAGAGTTTCCCTATTTTTTGTTGCCTAGGTATGTAAAAAGTTAAGACACTGTAATTCTCCATTTTCTGGGACATGCATGTTCTATATTTTCTACCAGAATTCAGAAGAGATGACTGGCACATTCTATTCTCCCATATTTTTCATGTCATCCAGCATGGATGCTTAGCATTTTTTCATTTCCTAATCAGATTGTAAACTATACCTTTGTTCTATGTGCTGATGTTTTCTGATTAAATATATCATAGTAGTTATTTTTGGTTTGTTCTGATACTTATTTGTCAAAGTCTTCTGTTATTTACTGTTTTTTAAATTTATCATTTATGCAAATCAAATATGTCTTGGAAATTATAATCAACATGAATCAGCACATCTAATTTTAAAATTGTCATTTTTGTTTTGTTGCATCAGCTTCCTGAGCTTCATCAATTAATGACTGAGGCTGCTGAAATATTGAACATTGAGGCTCCTGATCTGTATGTCCGTCAGAGTCCGGTTCCAAATGCTTATACGTTAGCCATAAGTGGTAAAAAACCATTTGTTGTTATACATACTAGCCTTGTGGAGCTTCTAACTCGAAAGGAGTTACAGGTCTTTCCTTGTCTCTTTGTAACAATTTTGCATATAATTATTGAATTCTCTTGTTGTTAGTCATTTCTTGTAGAATCTTTGATGTTTGTTACTTTCTTCTCAGACGAGGCTCAGAAATGTAATTCTGGAAGTTGGATTCTGACTATATCTGCTAATTTGACTTTTGTGACTGTCATTTTTTTCTGTTTATCCTTGTCTTTTCACATATACCCATATGTAGATATATAGTCGAATAGAAATATAATTATTTCTTTATATATGTTTTGGCTTTTATATGAAGGATTGCTACTGACTTTTTTCCCGTTTGACTTAAAAAAAAGGCTGTGTTGGCACATGAGTTGGGTCATCTGAAATGCGACCATGGTGTTTGGCTCACTTTTGCCAATATTCTCACCCTTGGAGCGTATACTGTACCTGGTTGGTGTTTGTGCTCTTTTCTTTTTCTTTAGTTGAGGTTATGTGATTACATATGTAATCTACAGCCTTTTCTTCTTCTTCTTTTTTTGTTTTTTAATTCCATTAAAATAATGTTGAGCATATTGGGAATACTGAAAGGTTTATGTGAACTCTGAATTCAAAAAAGTTAACTGAGCTCCCAAATGATTGATTATAAGAGTCTTTGTAATGGCTTCATTGGATCATTACATGGTATATTCACACTATATTCTTTGATCATGCCATTTAATCCAATATGGTAAAGGTATTTTTATACGGAAGACAAGAGAGCCATTTGTATGTTTTATCCACCCATTTGTATGCATCCACTTTTCCCTGAAAACCATATTATTGTTATGCTTGCATGTTGCTGCATAATTGAGTGTGTCAGCTATAGGTCTTACTCATATAGTGCTTGGATTGTATATTTTCTCATTAACTTGTAGTCACTTGCTGTCTGAATACCTGTGTTGTTCACAGGACTTGGAGGGTTGATAGCTCAAAGTTTAGAAGAACAGTTATTCCGTTGGGTGCGTGCAGCAGAATTAACATGTGATCGTGCAGCCCTTCTTGTTGCACAAGACCCTAAGGTACACCAAATTGACATCTTAGAACCACATCAATCTTAATTAGCGTCTCTGATGCTTTCCTGTTAGTTTGCTCATCTGATTTTATTTGACCCTCCAACAAGAGGTGGTCATCTCTGTTCTAATGAAACTAGTGGGTGGCTGCCCGTCCCTGGCTGATCAACTAAATGTGGATGCATTTTTGGAGCAAGCTCGCTCTTATGACAAAGCTTCTTCAAGTCCGATGGGGTGGTACATAAGGTGAGCAACAGCATTAGCAGAGCTCCTAAAAGCTGGTTTTCTGTTTTGTCTTTGTTGACTAACTCTATCATGTTCAGAAATGCTCAAACAAGGCAACTCTCACATCCTCTGCCAGTTTTACGTGCCCGTGAAATTGATGAATGGTCAAGAAGTCTAGATTACAAGACTCTCCTGAAACGTGCAGTTCAAATGAATCCTGTACAAAATGTTTAGTATTGTGTTGGAGATGGTCAAAATCTGAAACAATATGATTAGGTTTTAGTTACATGGTTAGTTATGAATCAGAATTTTCCTGTATTCATGCCCCTATATTCGATGCATGCAAACTATATATACTACTTTCCTTTTGATTGGATTCTTTTGGGGTGCTTTTTCAGGTTTTCTCTTTGTCTTGCATATTTGATCTTTTCACTTTTCAAATTATCATCGAAAAGGAGCAGAGAAAATTGATGAGGACGGGAGGATCAGCTGCACATATATGTTCGAGTCTGGACCCTATATTTAGATAAACACTGTGAATTTAAGATGCGAAAAAGATTTTTGGGTCAACCTTGTATAAGCTTGAAAGATGTATAGTTATGAGAAGTTACTATCATACTTAATATTCTTAAAGAATCACACTCTTGTATAATTTATGTTCAATACTGTATATCAGTATATACTTTGAGTCCTAATATTTTATACTTGATGGAATCAAAGTGTCAACAGCTCCGGTTGCAGTATTATTTTCAAGGTTTCTGTATTGTAGAATGGTGTTTCAAGCATCTAGCTCACCATTTTGTGCGGTATTATACAACTTATTTACCTGCTCAGCTTTGTTTACTACTTGGGAGAAGCAAAAGATAAAAATTCTTGTTCTCAGATGTATTAAATAAATGATGCTTACAAGAGGCTATTAAACTTGGGACTTATAAAAGTGTAATACCTTCATTTCTTAATCACAGAACTACGGCCAGAACTAAAACATAAATTAAAATCTCCAACTTCAGTTGTGGTTTCAGCCCATGGGAGGCACGCAAGACTACTTCATCAATTATAGGGCCACAAAACACACCATCTTTGGTCTGGTTTGTGCTACCGCTGAGAAAACTGATTGGATTTGGACCGGAACCTGCTTTGAAAGGCACTGAGTACTTGACGGCTGACCTTGTACCTGAACTTTCAAGGGTAATATTTCGGACAACTGGTCCTGCTTGAACCCTTACCATAAGCTTTCTGTCGCATCCATCTCCGGCGTGTCCCGCTGTAAAATTCACATAGTATGAAGAACCCTCGGTAAGCATTACGTCTATTTGTATGCCAGTTGAAACTCCTGAGACAATCTCAATAGCAGCATTGCCTTCGGGTACAAAGAAGTGCTTGGAATCTATGTATTTGACTGTTCCTATCACAGTCCACTGCAGTAATGCAGACTGAACAGGACTTGGTGCTGATTCAAGTAAAATTCCCTCAGTAGAATTACTCAAGAAATCTGGGCCAACTTCAAAACCTCCGTTCAGCAATAGGTTACCTGTATATACGAACCATAATAGAGCAAGACTCCAGTATGTGAGAAATGGAATTTGTACTCCAGATTCTTTTTATATGTGATGAACAATTGAATTCTTAAAGGAACAAAAGTGGTCTGGAAATTTGTGTACTTGGACTAAAATCTGGCAACTGTTCGTAATGATACTTTTTAGTTTTCAACCGTCAACAAAGAATATTTATATAAAGATCTAGTATGGGTGGAAGCTTAATATTAATTTTGACTCTTATTTAATAGCTTAAACTTTTAAGTAATGCTATCAAAACAAAGGTTTTAAATTCAAGTCCTTACGTTTCAAATGGAATGAATCTGGAGATGAAATTTTTCACTGAAGTATAACAATGAATGAAAGTTTGGCCCCTATACTTTGCAAAGTTAGAAATTCACATACCATCAGCTTGAGCAAGTGCTGGGTCGGTTTTGAGAAACAGCATATCAATCATTGGCCAACATGTTGAATTAGCATCCGATTCTGTAGTTAGGCTTTCAATCACAAGATTAATAGGTTCACCCCGATCCCATCTACCCAAGTAGTGACCATAGCTTTCCCAGCTCTCCTTCCCATAATGCTGTTTCAAAGAGAAGACTCCTCTACTGTCAGGTGCTGACACTACTACATCTGCATTAGCTGAACAATTCTGACCACCAGGGACCAGTGTGAACGTAAGTAGATAGTTCATATTATCACCAGTGGCAATGAAAGTCTGGTTGATCTTCCCATCTTGTCCCAGTTGAATGGCATGCCCATTATCTGGCAATTTCACGACTTGATTGGCTGTTACATATCGGACTGTCCCTTCAAAAGTCCATCCAGGAATTGTGTTGTTTTCATTTAGTAGAACAAATGGGGTTGAGAAATTTGCTGCCAACTTTGGTGGTGGGGATTCAAAATCTGGATTCTGCAAAAGATCTGTGGTTCATAAAATAAAGAAATAAATATCAGTAAAAACTACAGAAAAAAGAGATTATTAGAGGATTGGAATTTATTACGATTTCACCTGCAGAAGTCAATCCTATGAAAAGAAGCTGGAGGAAAAACATTTCACCATGCATTTTGCTGCTGCGGAGAGAATAGAAACACATTCATTACATATGGGGTTATATTTATATAAACTTCATTTCATTTTGAGCGAGATTAAGGGATGCTGCACATGTTCAAACTTCAATTAAAGAGTCAACTTTGAATAACAGGATTCTGAATTAATATATGGGAAGTTTCCTGTTAGTAACCAAGGTTTACTGGCTCTTCTAATCATTCTATTTAAACATCTTAATTTAAGGTTCTATTATATGGGAACCACTTATAGTACCAAAAATAATGTTACTCTGTTATGACCATTGGATCATTGTCCTGATCATGATTTAACAGCTTAAGATGGAGTTACTGTCTGGTTCATAGATCCAGAAGTAATTGTAAAAGAATATTTGGATGCAAAACAGTCCAAAAATTCATTACTTATTAATTTAGTCCGAACCACGTTGACTTGGGGTGAGTTTATGAAAAAGATCATTTGAGCGTGGATTTGCTTTAGTTGGTGCGTTGACTTGCATTTGTCTGCTGGAAGAGAGAGAGTCATAATGGGACGGGGTTAACGTAACCACACATGACCAGTTATTTACATCAATATAATCATGGTAAATAATAATTATTTCCACATTAAAATTAAAATTTGAATACGCAATCTAGTTTAAAATTAACTTGAGTTTATAGATTTAGGAAGTAGTTTATTTTGTTCGGCCCATGAGTTTGTTAATAGCCGGGATGGCAAAATTCCTTGTGGGCTGTCCCTGCAAGCTTATGTATAAATAAATAATTAATAAAAATATTTATTTATTTTATCTTATGTATTTATATATCTATTTATCTAGATGAATTTCAGTATTTATTTATCTCTTTAAGTATTTATCTTATATGAATTGAAAGAAAATCCAGAAATCTTTTCTAATATTTTGAAAATTAGATAGTACTGCAATTTTTTTAAAAGAAAACTCTTTGCTTTCATTGCAATTACTGATAACTGCTTTTGAAGAAAACTACAACACTGTTTAATAGTATTTATCTTACATAAATATTTCCTTATTTATTTATTTTATCTAATGTATTTAGATATCTATTTATCTAGATGAATTTCAGTATTTATTTATCTTCCATTATTTATCACTTTAAGTATTTATCTTATATAAATTGAGAGAAAATCCAGAAAACTTCGTTAAGATAAATACTATTAGACAGTGTTGCAGTTTTCTTCAAAGAAAACTTTTTGCTTTCATTGCGACTACTGTAAATGTCTTTGAAGAAAACTACAACAGTGTCTAATAGTATTTATCTTATATAAATCTTCTTTATTTAAAATATTTTATTTTTTTAAATGAACCTAGACTCTTTTAAGTTTCTATTATTTTCTTTTAATAGTTTTCCAAGTTTTTTTTTAATTTCATATGAATCCTTCTTCTTTTTTATCTCTTATTTCTTAATTATCTCATTTTATTTTTTTTATTTAAAATCTTTATCTCCATCCTCGTTCATAACAGCTAAAGCTATAACTCATTTAGTTGGACTCATTTAGTTAATAATTCAATCCAAGATAGAAAAGGTGAACAAATAATCCCATATAAATGGAACGTTAATACTCAATTAACTATCAACACAAGGAATTAATTTTATAAGTGATCAAATATTATTATGGATCTTCATGGCCTGTTGAGCTTCTACTTTCTACTTCTTTTGGTGGCACAACCCCATCCAGGTAATGGCGCCTCTAGCCGTGGTTCAATATTTGGCCAACGACGAACGCCTGCTCAAGAGATTGGTACGTGCGCAACTACAGTGGTTAAACAAGGTTACCCGTGCCAGGAGTTCTACGTAAGAGCTTATCATAGTTTGAATTTTTAAATACTAATTAAAATAGTATTAATTAGCGAAATAAGTTTTATTTATACAACATTGGCATATTAATGTGGTTTCAGGTGACAACCAAAGATGTTTATATTCTTAATATGCAAAGAATTCCTGAAGGGCGCGTTGCCAATGGTGAGAAGAAGCAGCCAGTCTTGTTACAACACGGGATCTTTGCGGTACGTTCGTAAATTACTTATAAGACAATCAATAATATACTACCATTTAACTGTTGCATGCATTGTTTTATTTATTGTTAATTAGAGAGGTTTCGTTTTGTTGGATTAATGGTGTGTGTTCAGGATGGAATGACATGGTTTACAAATCAACCCCAACAAAATCTACCAATGATTTTGGCTGATAATGGGTTTGATGTTTGGATTGCTAACACTAGAGGAACTAGATTTAGCCGACGCCACGCCTTCCTTGATCCCAACACTAAGGTTTTATTTCTTCAACTCTTATTTTATTCTACTTTGAAATGTAAATGTTGATCATCTTCTCTAAATGAAAGTTTATATGACAGGAATACTGGGATTGGTCATGGGATGAACTGGCAGCCAATGATCTACCAGCTTTTGTTGATTTCATATACAGTCAAACATGCCTAAAAGTTCATTACGTGGGACATTCACTGGTAAGCACCATACAGACAAACATCAGTGTATTGAATTGAACTATAATTTGACTGCTAAATAATGTGCACCGTGCTAATTTAACAGGGAACTCTTACTGCTTTGGCATCTTTCTCTCAAGGGTTAGTGGTGGACAAGGTGAAATCAGCAGTCTTGTTAAGCCCCATAGCTTACCTGAGCCGCGTCAGATCTATTCTTCTCAATGTTGCTGCTAACACTTTTCTTGGAGAGGTCAGTGGAGTCATAAGAATTTCATTGTCAATGAGTATTTCAGACACAACACATGAATAAAATTGATGTTTCGTTCTCTTTTCTTAACAGGCTACTGGGTTGATTGGAATAGCAGAGTTCAAGCCAAAAGGGTAAGAATCAGTTTTAAGATATTTACAAACTTTGTTCCTAACATAAAAATGCTCAAAATTTTAATGGTTTGGTTCTCTGATCATATCAGGGATCCTGCTGTTGATAGTTTTCTCAGGTCAATTTGCACTTCTACTGGGCTTAACTGCAATGATTTAATAACATCACTTAGCGGTAATTTTCTGAGCTCTAATTGTTTGTTCTTGGGCAACAACGGTCTTTTTGTGAACTATTGTTTTAACTAAAATTTTCCCAATTGCAGGATTTAATTGTTGTCTCAATGCTTCAGCGATCAATAACTACCCAGAAAATGAGCCTCAATCAACATCAACAAAAAATCTGATACACCTCTCACAGAGTGAGTCTGTCATTCCTAACCTTAATATTGGCTGAAAAAATAAAGCTTGAACTATATGTAATTGTGGGGCAAAATGAAATTGCAGTTATTCGAACTAAGGTGATCGCAAAGTTTGATGGGCTTCTGCTGTATAATCTGAGGCGTTACGGAGCATTCAGACCACCTGTTTATAATGTGGCCAACCTTCCAAGAGACCTTCCTCTGTTTTTGGGCCATGGAGGCAATGATGCGATTTCTGATGTTGAAGATGTTCAATATTTAATTAGTATTCTGAAATATCATCTTGGAGATAACCTAAAATCTCTGTTTGTAAAAGATTACGGACACTTTGATTTCATTAGGGCTGTAAATGCCAAGGATCTTGTTTATAATGAAGTTGTAGACTTCTTTAAAAGTCAGAAGTAGTTGATCCCTGGAAGGTAGAGTTTTGTTTACATCCAACATGGATGCTTAGCATGTTTTTCATTTCCTAGTCAGATTGTAAACTAAACCTTTGTTCTATGTGCCGGTGTTTTCTAATTAAATATATCATAGTAGGTATTTTTGGTTTATTCTGATACTTGTCAAAATCTTCTGTTTTTTACATTTGTGCAAGTCAAATATGTCTTGGAAATTATAATCAACATTCCTGAGCTTCACCAGGTAATGACTGAGGCTGCTGAAATATTGAACATTGAGGCTCCTGATCTGTATGTCCGACAGAGTCCAGTTCCAAATGTTTATACATTAGCTATAAGTGGTAAAAAGCCATTTGTTGTTATACATACTGGCCTTGTGGAGCTTGTAACACAAAAGGAGTTACAGGTCTTTCCTTGTCTCTTTGTAACAATCTTGCATATAATTATTGAATTCTCTTGTTGTTAGTCATTTCCTTGTAGCATCTTTGATGTTTGTTACTTTGTTCTCAGACAAGGCTCATAGAAATGTAATTGGGGAAGTTGAATTCTGACTATATCTGTTATTTCTGTCATTTTTTCTGTTTGTCCTTGTCTTTTCAAATATACCCATATGTAGATATATAGTCGAACAGACATATAATTATTTCTTTATATATATTTTGGCTTTTAGATGAGGATTGCTACCGACTTTTTTTCCGTTTTGACTTAAAAAATAGGCTGTGTTGGCACATGAGTCGGGTCATCTGAAATGCGACCATGGTGTTTGGCTCACTTTTTCCAATATTTTCACCCTTGGAGAGTATACTGTACCCGGTTGGTGTTTGTGCTCTTTTACTTTTCTTTAGTTGAGGTTATTAAAATAATGTTGAGCATATTGGGAATACTGAAAGGGGTATGTGAACTCTGAATTCAAACAAGTTAACTGAGCTCCCAGACGATTGATTATAAGAGTCTTTGTAATGGCTTCATTGGATCATTACATTGTACATACACATTACACACTATATTCTTTTATCATGGGATTAATCCAATATGGTAAAGGTGTTTTTATACTGAAGACAAGAGAGCCATATGTATGTTTTATCCACCCATTTGTTTGCATCCACTTTTTATACTGAAGGCATTACTTTTATGCTTGCAGGTTGCTGCATAACTCGGTATGTCAGTTATAGGTCTTACTCTTATAGTACTTGAATTGTATGTTTACTCATTAACTTGCAGTGGATTGTATATTTACTCATTAACTTGCAGTCATTTACTGTCTGAATACAAGGCAACTCTCACATCCCCTGCCTGTTTTACGTGCCTGTGAAGTTGATGAATGGTCAAGAAGTCCAGATTACAGGACTTTCCTGAAACGTGCAGTACAGATGAATCCTGTACAAAATGTTTAGTATTGTGCTGGAGATGGTCAAAATTTGAAACAATATGATTACGTTTTAGTTACATGGTTAGTTACGAATCAGAATTTTCCCGTATTCCTGCCCCTATATTCGATGCATGCAAACTATATATACTGCTTTCCTTTTGATTGAATTTTTTTGGGGTGCTTTATCAGGTTTTCTCTTTGTCTTGCATATTTGATCTTTTCACTTTTCAAATTATCATCGAAAAGAAGCAGAGAAGGGAGGATCAATTACACATATACGTTCCAGTCTGGACCCTATATTTAGATAAACAATGTGAATTTAATATGCCCGAATGATTTTTGGGTCAATCTTGTACAAGCATGAAAGATGTATAGTTATGAGAAGTTACCATCATACTTAATATTCTTAAAGAATCACACTCTTGTATAATTTATGTTCAATACTGTATATCAATATATACTTGGAGTCCTAATATTTATTCTCGGTGGAATAAAAAATGTCAACAGCTCCGGTTGCAGTATTAGTTTCAAGGTTTCTGTATTTTAGCATGGTGTTTCAAGCATCTAGCTCACCATTTTGTGCGGTATTATACAACTTATTTACGAGTTACAAGAGGCTACTAAACTTGGGACTTACAAAAGCGTACTACCATCATTTCTTAATCACAGAACTGTTGGTTTAGAGAGTGAGCTGGAGAGTGTAAAATGAGAGTGTTTTTGCAATGGAAAGAGACGGTATGAACCTGAAAATTGTACTCTATTTCATTCACTGAACATGGAATAAATTCATACAAAACAGCCCACTGTTTTACCTAAAGCAAACTACTGCAGTGGATTATAATATTACATTTAAATTTGAATAAAAACATATACCAAAACATGTCTTAGTCCCAACTAAACATGGCATACAAAAGTAACTTGTCTGTGCCAAATATCTGCTGCATCAACTATTGCAGCCTAACCAAAACAGAACAGTTGGCGCCAAAATGTTGTTTGAACCTTCAGCCGAATTTTGTTCCATTTCCAGCAGGTTATCACCAACTTCATCACTCCTCCTTGATAATCTTGCTGGAAACACCAAGTCTAAGTCTTAAATTCTCAAACTTGGTTTTAGGTAAAGCCTTGGTCATGACATCAGCTATTTGTTCTTCACCTCTGCAGTGGATTAATTTCACTTCTCCATTACTCACTCCCTTTCTCACAGCATGGAATTTGATTTTGATATGCTTGGTTCTGCCGTGTAAGATGAGATTCTTTGCCATTGCAACAGCCGACTGATTGTCACAGAATATTACAGTTGGTTCCTTCTGAGTTTGCCTCAAATCCTGCAGAATTTTCCTAAGCCATATAGCCTGGTTTACAGCAGCAGCAACAGAAATGTATTCTGCTTCTGCTGTGGACTGAGCAATGGTGTCTTGCTTCTTGGAAAGCCAACATATGGCTCCTGAGTTTAAGAAGAAAACATAACCTGAAGTACTTCTCATATCATCAATGCATCCAACCCAATCTGTCTAAGTACCCAATAAGTTGCAGGTTTTCAATCTTCTTAAACCATACACCAAGTTCAGCACTTCCCTTGACATACCTCAGCACCCTCTTGGCTGCCTTGAGATGGATTTCACTCGGGCTGGTCATGAATCTGGAGAGAATACTTGTTGCAAACATTAAGTCTGGTCTGGTGGCAGTCAAATACAGTAGGCACCCAATCAGACTTCTATACATTTTCTCATCAATTTTATAGCCCCATCATCTTTGCTCAGCTTCAAATTTGCAACCAGAGGAGTGTCCACTGGTTTGCACCTGTCCATATCAAACTTATGTAGAATTTCATTGGCAAATTTCCTTTGGCTAACAAATATCCCATGCTGACTTTGGTGGATCTCCATTCCAAGAAAATAGGACATTTCCCCAAGGTCAATCATTTCAAATTCATTGTGCATGGCCATCTTAAACTTCTCTAGCTGAATTGAGCTGCTTCCCATGATGAGTAAGTCATCAACATACAATGACACTATAGTGAATTCCCCTTCCAACCTTCTCACATATAGTGTATGTTCATTTGGACTCCTTACATATCCCAAGCTAACCAAATGATCATTGATCCTACTATACCAGGCTCTAGGAGCCTGTTTTAGCCCATATAGTGCCTTCCTCAAAAAATAGACTTTGTTCTCCTGCCCCTTCACTTCATATCCCTCCGATTGCTCCACATAAATTTCCTCATTGAGCCAACAATTTAGGAAAGCAGAATTGACATCTAGTTGATAGATTCTCCACTCAAATTGGGCTGCCAAGGCAAGGGAAAGCCTAATTGTGTCATGTCTGGCCACGGGTGCAAATGTATCCGAGAAGTCTACTCCAAATTGTTAAGCAAACCCCTTGACAACCAACCTTGCTTTATGTTTATACACTGATCCATTAGGTTTCAGCTTCTTTTTGTAAATCCATTTGACTTGAATTACCCTTCTGGTTGCTGGTCTATCTACCAATTCCTAGGTGCCATTCTTTTCAATCATCTTTATATCCTCCTCCATTGCATTCCTCCATACCTCTGACTTAGTAGCCTTCTTGTAGCTTGTAGGTTCAAGTAAGGTTGCATTACACCTCTCATAAACCTCTGCCAGAGTCTTTGTACCCCGAACTAGAAAATCATCATCAAAATTTTCCTCTTTTGGATCATTATGTCTGCTTGCTGCTGTATCTATCAACTGCCCTCTTGAGTCTTCTTCAACCTCATTTTTCTCCCAGTTCCATAACCCACTTTCATCTACCTTCACATCTCTAGTGATGTGAATTTTCTTGGTTGTTGGAACATAGACTCTATAAGCTTTGGACTATTCACTATAGCCTATAAAGATCTTTGTCATGGCTTTGCCATCTAATTTGCTTCTTTTGACTACTGGAATGAGTGCATAGCATACACTCCCAAAAAATTTCAGATTTCCAACCAAAGGCTTCACTCTATACTAGGCCTCATAGGGTGTTTGATTAGTTAAGGCCTTAGTGGGGAGTCTATTAAGCAAATAGACCCCTGTGTTTGCTGCCTCTGCCCAAAAAGACTTGGGCAGCTTCTTTTCAGCAACCATGCACCTGGCCATCTCCATAACAATGTTATTCTTCCTCTCACTGACTCCATTCTGCTGTGGAGTATAGTGACTACTGAACTGGTGCACAATTCGAGCTTGCTTGCAGATTGTTTCAAACTCAGTGGAGGTGTACTCACTCCCATTGTCACTTCTGACAGTTTTGATGCTAAGTCCGGTTTGGTTTTCAACTTGCAGCTTAAATTTTTCAAACGCAACTGCAACTGCAACTTCACTTTTGTGTTTCCAAAAGTAAACCCAGCACATCCAGGACTAGTCATCAATGAATAAAACAAAGTATTTGCTCCCATTTAGTGATGGTGTCTGCATAGGTCCACACATATCTGTGTGGATAAGCTAGAGCTTCTTAGCAGCTTTCCAGGCTTTGTTTGCAGGGAATGGTTGTCTATTCATTTTGCCAAGCTAACAGGTAGCACATATAGCCTTGGTCTCTACAATTTCTGGCAGATTGCAGACCAATTCTTTGGTCTAAATTTCCCTAAGACCATGATAGTTGAAATGGCCTAATCTTTTGTGCCATAATTCTGACTCATTCACACTAGCAGTATAAGCTTTAGGTTCTGATTTTTTTAGCCTAATAGGGAAGCTTTTTCCCATCATTCTAACCCTCATTAACTCACTGCCTTCACTGTCCAGGATTGTGCAAAACTGATCCTAGAAGTACAAGGCATACTTCCTTTCTAGCATTTGTCTTACACTAAGCAAATTATGGCTTATATCAGGCACATACAAAACGTTAGGGATTAGTTTAATACCTGAGCTTGTTTGCACAGCAATGTCTCCTCTTCCTTTGACAGCTACAAACTCCTCATTTCCAACTTTAATTTTGGAGTGGTATGACTTGTCCAAGTTGACAAAATCCCCCAGGTTTGCTGTCATATGATTAGTGCAGCCACTATCTATTAGTCATGCATCATTGTAAGCTTGAACTGCACAACATGAAGCCACAAACAATTGCTCAGAATCTGAATTTGGCTGCTGATCCTCAACAATTTGTGCTTGCTGTGTTGGTTGGTTTGGCTTGTTCTTGCACACTTTTTCAATATGGCCATATTGCTTGCATGCACTACATTGGATATTAGGTCTGAACCAGTACCTTTTTTCAGCGTGACCCTTCTTCTTGTAGTGAGAGCGCGGTGGAAACCTCTCATTCCACTTGGCTTGCTCCACTAGTTGGCTATTTTCTCTTTCCATTTCTTATCTCCAGCAGGCCTTTTGCTTCCTCCTTGACCAGGTTTGCCTTTAAGTCTTGCCACCATTGCACCCTCACTTGAATCCTCTTGCCTCAACAATCTCCTTTGCTCTTGAGCTTGCAAAGCATACACCAATTCGGTGAGAGTAATTTGTGACAAATCCTTAGAATCCTCAAGTGAAGAAATCTTAAATTCAAACCTCTCGGGTAGACTAACTAGGACTTTCTCACTATCCTTTTATCTGTCATTTCCTCTCCCATCAACTTGATTTTATTCACCACATTCATCAACCTATCTACATAATCCTTCACTGATTCTGACTCTTGCATCTTTAGCATTTCAAACTCCCTCCTTAAGTTCAATATATGCATGTTTCTTATTGTATCACTGCCACCAAACTCCTCCTTGAGTTTATCCCATGCTTCCTTGGCTGTCTCATATGCCATGATTCTTGTAAACACTTGTTCAGTCACTACTGCATGGATATGTGACAAAGCTCTAGGAGCCTTGGTAGCTTCCTCATCATGCAGCCTGATCTGATTGGTTTGGCCCTAATGCTGGTGCTGTCTATCCTCTTCAACATACTGCCATAAACCTTGTCCCCTCAGAACGGTTTTCATTTTGACAGCCCATATATGGTATTGATCACCGTTGAAGGTTGGAGGAGTAAGGGAGGCTGTGTGCTATGCCATTGAATCGGGTTGTGTGGAGTTTGACAGGTGGTTACACCGTAATAGAGGCTGAGAAAATTGGTGAGAAGAGATGAGTTTATCAAGGCCTTAAGATCAGCTAAGCTCTGATACCAATTGTTGGTTTAGAGAGTGTAAAATGATAGTGTTTTTGCAATGGAAAGAGACGGTATGAACCTGAAAATTGTACTCTATTTCATTCACTGAACATGGAATAAATTTATACAAAACAGCCCACTGTTTTACCTAAAGCAAACTATTGCAGTGAATTATAATATTACATTTAAATTTGAATAAAAACATATACCAAAACATGTCTTAATCCCAACTAAACATGGCATACAAAAGTAACTTGTCTGTGCCAAATATCTGCTGCATCAACTACTGCAACCTAACCAAAACAGAACAGTTGGTGCCAAAATGTTGTTTGAACCTTCAGCCGAATTTTGTTCCATTTCCAGCATGTTATCACCAACTTCATCAAGAACTACGGCCAGAACTAAAACATAAATTAAAATCTTCAACTTCAGTTGTAGTTTCGGCCCATGAGAGGCACACAAGACTACCTCATCAATTATAGGGCCACCAAACACACCATCTTTCGTCTGGTTTGTGCTTTTGCTGAGAAAACTGATTGGATTTTGTTATGCCTGAAAAATATAGGGCTAACGTAAGGTCTAGTAAGCGTGCAGAAGTCAGAACATGGGTACACCCGCAGCCTACTTCTGTCAGAATAGTGGGTGCGCGCCAGACCAGCCAGTAGTTGTGGTGATCCCACTTTTCCAATCCCTGCACCAGATCGCGCAAATCACTCTAGAAGGTGGGCAATGTGACATAAAGAAGGATTTGCACGCCTAATCTCACCAACTCACAGATTCAGTAATCATTAGCCCAATGTATCCCATTATAAATTGAGAGCCCCTCTCCCATTCAAGGGATTCGCTCATTTTTACTCTTGATTAGCTACTCTCTCTCTCTAATTTATGGCATTTACTCACTTGTACTATCATCTGCAAGTCAGTCAGCTAATGCGACCTGACCCCTATCATTAATAAAATAACAGTGGACGTAGGACTTGCTTCCTTAGCATCCGAATCACTTTAAAAACAATTTTCTCATTATATTTATTCTCTTTTTCTTGCATTCACCTGTGTCTTCTGAGCCAGCTCAGCATTTCACACGTGCGTTTCGTTGATGTAAAAATCACGCATCAACAGATTTGGATCGGAACCTGCTTTGAAAGGCGCTGAGTACTTGAAGGTTGATCCTTTACCTGAACTTTGAAGGGTAATATTTCGGACAACTGGTCCTGCTTGAACCCTTATCATAAGCTTTCCGTCGCATCCATCTCTGGCGTCTCCCACTGTAAAGGGTAATATTTTGGACAGCTAGTCCTGCTTAAACCCTCACTATGAGCTTTCCCTCGCATCCATCTCTTTCGTCTCCCACTGTAAAATCCAAGTAGTATGAAGAACCCTCAGTGAGCATTACGTCTATTTGTATGCCAGTTGAAACTCCTGAGACAAGCTCAATTGTAGCATTGCCTTTGTGGACAAAGAAATGCATGGAGTTGATGTATTTGACAGTTCCTATCACAGTCCAATTTTTGTAATGCAGACTGATCAGAATTTCGTTCTGATTCAAGCAAAATTCCTTCAATAGAATCACTCAGGAAATCTGACCCAGCTTCAAAACCTTCATTCAGCAAGAGGTTATCCGTGTATCTAAATCATAATTGAGAGCAAGACTTTAGTATGTGAGAAATGGAATTTATTTTGCAGAATGTCATGTATATATGATTTACAATTGAATTCATAAGCAAATAAGTTAATCTACTTAAATTTCCGGGAAGGTTCTGAAATGATCTTTACTATCAGACCCCATTATTCACTCCACACTCAAAATTAAATTTATTAAAAGTTAGTGCTAGAAATACACTTACCAATGGCTTTAACAAGTGTTTCGACGGTTTTGAGAAGCGGCATATCAATCACTGGCCAACATATTGAATTGGCATCAGATTGGTTAGTTAGGCTTAGAATCACAAGATCAATTGGCTCAGCCTGATCCCATCTACCCAGATAGAGAGCATAGCTCTCCCAGCTCTCATTTCCATAATGTTGCTTCAAAGAGAAGACTCCGCCACTGTCAAGTGACTCGGGTCCAAACACTAGTGCATCAGCATTAGCTAAACAATTCTCACCTCCTGGAACCAGTATGAATGTAAGTAAATAGTTCATGTTATCACCATTAGCGATGAAAGTCTGGTTGATTTTCCTATCTTGACCCAGTTGTATGGCGTGTCCATTATCTGGCAATTTCATGATTTGGCATCTTTCTAATTTAACAGGGAACTCTTACTGCTTTGGCATCTTTCTATCAAGGGTTAGTGGTGGACAAGGTGAAATCAGCAGTCTTCTTAAGCCCCATGGCTTACATGAGCCGCATCCAATCTATTCTTCTCAATGTTGCTGCTAACACTTTTCTCGGAGAGGTCAGTGGAGTTATAAGAATTTCATTGTCAATGATTACTTCAGACACAACACATTAATAAAATTGATGTTTCGTTTTCTTAACAGGCCGTTGGGTTGATTGGAATAGCAGAGTTTAACCCAAAAGGGTAAGAATCAGTTTTAAGATATTTATAAGAATCAGTTTTAAGATATTTATAAACTTTGTTCCTAATATAAAAATGCTCATAATTTTAATGGTTTGGTTCTCTGATCATATCAGGGATCCTGCTGTTGATGGTTTTCTCAGGTCAATTTGCTCTTTTACTCGGCTTAACCGCAATGATTTAGTTACATCACTTAGCGGTAATTTTCTGAGCTCTAATTGTTTGTTCTTAGGCAACAACGATCTTTCTGTGAACTATTGTTTTCACTAAAAGTTTCCCAATTGCAGGATTTAATTGTTGTCTCAATGCTTCAGCGATCAATAACTACCCGGAAAATGAGCCTCAATCAACATCAAAAAATAACCTTAATATTGGCTGAAAAAATTAAATAAAGCTTGAACTATATGTAATTGTGGGGTAAAATGAAATTACAGTTATTCGAACTAAGGTGATTGCAAAGTTTGATGGGCTTCTGCCTATAATCTGAGGCGTTACAGAGCATTCAGACCACCTGTACGTTTATAATGTGGCCAACCTTCCATGTGACCTTCCTCATGCGATTTTTTTATGTTGAAGATGTTCAGTATTTAATTAATATTTTTAAGTCTCATCTTGGAGCTAAAATCTCAGTTTGTAAAAGATTACGGACACTTCTTTTGGTGAATACATGGGGTCTACAGTCTACTTACCTTAGCCAGAGTTAATGTTACCCCGTATAGCATAACCAATCTTCGGATCATAAATCCTCTTTTATCGAGGTTCTTTAATAATTAAAAAGATATTTTAAAGTTGAATTCTTCAAAAAAAAAAAAAAAAATTTATCGTATTTATTTGTAATTTAAAAAGATTATATAATTGATTAAATTATCTAAATGGATAATAATATTTACCACCATTTGGTTCATAAATCGAACATCGGTTCTCAACCATTTTAATACAAATAATTCTACTTTTACTTTAAAGAGAAATGCAATAAAAATAACCAATTTATGCAATAAAGAAAAATTCAGAGTTAGAAATATTAAAAACAAAAAAGGAAAATATTTATTATTGTTGTGTGTGATTTTTCCTTCAAGCTCGGAGGATTGCAACGTTATAGCCTGATCCAAAACTGGCTCGACTCTTCCGATTGTCCGACCCAACATAATCTTGTCGAGTTATAGCTCGACCTAGCACAAGCTAGTCACGACCAATCCTTGCAGTTGTTCAACCAATTCACAGATAACTTCAAATCCCGGATATCTTGGAAAGGATCAGATCGACAACAATCTTTGCGCAATCACAACGTCTAATCGCAAGAATATCGGAGTTGCATTTCAAACTTGGTTGTAATCCCTTTATTTTTGCTCTTTCCTTTGTACATAATCTGTATATAAACCCACTCCAACGATGAGAAAGAGGTTAGCAAATTATTCTAGGACTATCATTGTAAGCTCTCACAGCTAATATAAGAACATCGGACGTAGGCTCAAGAGTTTATCTCGCCGAACCACTTTAAAAATATCTTTGTTATTTTCCTTACAGCGTTTCATTGTTTATTCATTACTGGTTACTCGTAATCACGCACAAATCAGTTCCGATCCCACCAAGGTCAATCAGATCACTTTGAATGGTGTATTTGCATCAACTTTTTGGCGCTAGAAGAAGGGTCTTCGCCAAAATCCCAGAAATTATGGCAAGCAATCCTAGTAACCCGATCACTTTAGGCCCACAATGGTGCGTACAAGATCGAAAACGACCACAGGAAACCATGACAATGTGGAAACCACCCACCAAGAAGTACATCAAGATGTCGTCGGACGTCGATCGCTAATGCCACCGGTGTAGCAAGCCACAAACCAACTGGGAGTAGGGACATCAAATCCCGAGAACGGCCAATTGGTGGAGATGATCAGAACGATAGTTGCACAAGCAGTGCAATAGAATGTCGCTGAGTTGAAGAATCGGCAACCAGCCCCCTAGGATCTTGACCGACTATATTCCATAGACGTCACTCCGATGGGGCGACCTTCAGCCAGCGACCGGTCTGGTTCATTGGCACTAAGGCATGGCTGATGGCTCTGGCATCGTCGAGAATATTTTATGCAAGAAAGAGAATCTCGCGGGCAAACTAACCCTGGGATGCCGCAGGCCATAGAAGGAGACGAAGATAAGGGTCACTAGAGAGATACCCAACCTACTCGGTGATACCCCCAACGTCAGCATGCCAGTTTTAACCTATGCCCAAGACAGGCTCTGTCCTTGCAAGCTCGCGAGACGAGTTATGTGCGCCAATCTAGCAATGACCGACGTTCTGCTTATAACCAACGTCACGAGCAATGCAGTGACGAGCATGATAGCACCTACCAACCTAGCCATCATGACTTAACCTCGTGCATCAATGCGCATAATAGAGGAGGCTCAAAAGCAATATATTTGCGAACTCACTTACTCGAGGCAAGGTTGAACAGAGTCAGCCAGGGCAATCACAACGAAGACTTAGATCGGGTACAAAAAATGCTCGATGATCTGAAAGCTCGCTAGAACAATGTGGCAGAAGAGATAATGAGCTCTCCATTTACAAAGGAAGTTTTCCAAGCCCTGCTCCCCCAAGGATTCAGGGTGTCAGAAAGCAGGTTCGATGGGAGAGGAGATCTCAAAGATCACATCGACACTTTTAATGACGGGTCTGTGACTTAGTAAAATGTTGCTGCTTCACGGTCACACTGGTAGGAGATGCCAAGAGGTGGTACAAAAGACTCAAGGCGAATTCTATCAGTTCTTGGCAACAATTCTCCTCGCTATACTTGCAGCAATTCCAAGCGAGTATACTGTTCGCAATGCCGCTCAACTACTTGAGCAACATTCTTTAGGAGAGACACAAAACATTGATCTCATATTTAATGAGATTCCAGAATGAACAGGCAAATGTCGTAGATGCACCTAAAGAGTCGATCCAAACTTTGCTAATTGCAAGCATCAGGCCGCAAATAGAGCTGTGGAAAGAGCTCCAAAGTGAAGACCATGTGAGCCTAGCAAGGTTTTACCAAATGGTTGTCAAGCGTCAGTGAATAGAAAGCTCGCTAGCTGCCCTAGCCAGAAGCTCGCCAAGAATAGCCCTATACAAGTGACAGGATCACCCAGTAGACAAGCAAAGGGGCCAAGATCACAATGACAAGGATCGAAACAAGTCCCAAAAGAGATAAAGAACAAATAATCACAGAGACAGGCAACTTTTCCTGTGATATGTAGAATACACCTCTTTAACGTAAGACATAGCTCACATTTATGAAGTCTCCCATGAGGCTAAGAGACTGCATGCTCTAGAAAGAATAAAGGGGCTCCGGGCAGAAGAGATCGGCAGAAATATTGCTGATACCACCGAGACATCAGGCACAATACCAACAAGTGTCGGGCTTTAAAGGACGCCATCGAAGACCTGATATGAAAGGGTCATTTAAAAGAATTTGTTAAGGAGGCACCAGCTTGCAAAGGCATAGGCGAGCAGAATTACCAGATCTAGCAAGCCCCGGCCAATGCCAACAATGATGTCCTGGTAGGCATTGTTAGAGTAGATACCCTAGAGCCAATCAATTATTGTAGAATTGACTCTTTGTAATAATGTTCATTAATCAATAAAAAACATTTTATTCTATATCGTGTAAATCATTATTATTGCAATATGTATTGATATATGTCCTTAGAATGGTAGAACCGTGACGAGGGTATCAAGTGTTTCAAATCTTGATAGTGGGAACCCTATGAGCACATATGGTAGCCATTCTAGAAACGTCCGTAGCCCCAGTATTATTCTGAAGTAAGGGCACAGATAATACGGTAAGGCTATCATAGTGTTGAACGACCCTGTCAAAAGGCAGTGACTGATCTCACTTGTCAATGTTGTTTGGTGACAACCTGGTGCAACACATGGGTGCTTGTTGTAGGCGATTACACTGCAGCAAGTTCATTGGATTGACCTACCAGAGGATTCCATATGGATGATAACCCTAGTGTCTATGGAACAAATCTTCTAACGAATGGTGGTGCCTGTGATCCTTAGAATTGAGATCACCGGAGCGCCTTGTGCACCGATTGGTGTAGTTTGACACTAGTCTAACGCAGTTCTTTTCAGAATTTTCAATACGGTGGTGATTGGCTGCATCAAGGAGTGTATCAAGACTATGGTGGATTGACAGAGGATTCATCACTCCCGGGTACGGGAGAAGTTATCTCACGGCGTAATTCAGTATATGGCAATGACGTTAAAACTGTGGCCACAGTGGGATTGAGTTGTTGCTCTATCCAATTTATAATACGGGTCATTGGTCCAGAAACTGAATACATAATATCGAGAGTAACCGAAGGTTAACACTATTTATATGTCTTCGCCTCGTCGAGATAACGTATGATGAAAAGATCGAATTGCACGGTAACCATATCGTTGACAGGTAGTTGCTTTGCTAAATCTGAATCTGAATCTATCGGGTGGCCATGATGCCTTGCTAGGGGCCAATCTTGGTCTACGTACAGTGAGACGATTAATTGGTATTAATCGCGATACTATACGCTACCGGTATGATGAGGAGCTTATGGATCACACACATAGAAGATAATTTAAGATCTAAGAAGAAGGAATGACATTTT